TGAGAGTTTGGGGGTACCCTGACCCATCAGTGCTGCACCCCCTTCAAAAAAAATCCACACTGATGGTTTTGTGTTGGGGTGACGAGTTCATCCTGAAATGTCAGTGGCTTATTTGATAGGAAACTGTAGTGTCAGTGTAATTTTTTTAACAATACTGAATTTCCAAATTTTGATAGCAATGATTTTTTGCATCATTCAGTCTATAAACGAACCACAAACATGTCCTACTCTTGTTTTTTTACAACAACATTTGTTATGAGTTATTTTTATATTAATAGCACTCCAAACATCACATGCTGTCACCATCAGCCTCATCTTCACTAGCATCACAAAAGTCTACATTGTAATCAGCCTCTCCGCCACCATCTGTCTGCGTGTGTCCTTTCCCGCCACCACCCCTTCCCGCCGCATCCTCTTCTGGAGTCTTTCGCTTTGTTGGCCGCCGCTTCTTCAAGCTGCGCCAGATGCTCACTATTTCACTCCAATCTACCTCATACTCCAGGAGGCTTAGCGTCATGAGGTCGCCAAGCTTCGCATTGCAGAGGCTGGTGCGCTGCCAGCTCTTGATGATGTTCTGTCTCAAGAACCCGCGCTCGCACTCCACGCTGCTGATGGGCAGCACCGCAACTGCAGCCCACAGCCTCACCAGATTCGGGTAGCTCCGCGGCCAGTCCGAAGTAGACAACATGGCCTTCAGCCCCGCGTGGAAGGTCTGCTCCTCCTTCGGCGCCCCGAGCAGCACAGGCAAGAAGGTGCGCATCTCCCTCTGGGTTTCACGCTTCGTGAAACCTGTTGAGGGGGATGGTAAGCAAGAAAAATGTCATGTTATTTAGCACATGCATGCATGCATGGGTTAACACAACATCGAGCTGCCATAAACCAGGTATCAAGGAACCCACCTGGTATGATCTCGTCTCTGTCGCGAGCGTGGAAGAGTCCGATAAGGCCATCGAGGTGCTCAAGGCATTCGGTGTCACGTGCCTCCCGGCTTCGCGGCCACGTGCGCGGCATGAAAAGCTTCGCAGCGTTGAGGTCTGAGAGGTTCCCCAACCGCTTCTTCAGGTTGTAGATCAGCTCGCTGGCAAACGAGCGACATGTCCTGACGCACGACTGCAGGTCCCCCGCGCTCGTCACCGGGAACAGGGTCTTCATGCAGTACGAAGTGATGTGAACGCGGTTGACCCTCGCTGTCCACACCGTCCACGGACACGTCCCTGCTGCACGGCGAGATGTATCGCGCAAGGAAAGGCGAAATATTCGTGCTTGAACCCGCCCCGAAGTGTTGCCCGCAGTCGAGGTACCGCTCTGAAATGAACACTAGCGTTCGCCGCACCTGGGACTGCACTGCCGTGAAGTCAACCTGGTGGCAAGGTGTTGTGAAGGGGGGGTGGACTCGGGAACTTGCGCAAGGGAACAGACACACGATGAGTGAATCGTGTAAATCCCCTGAAGCTCCAAGTTGGTCTGCGTGAAGATCTGCTGGAGCTCGTTGAAGTTGTTGTAAGAGTTGCTTGAGCGACCGACGTGCTCGGCTGTTGTGCAGATAACTGCGTCGATCATGCCGAGTTCTGGGAGCGCTGTTGCAGAGTCTCAGGCCGCGAGTGCTCCCTGCCAAACAATAATCTAAACAGATCGTTAGCAATTTAATCAAACAATACACAAGCGACAAAACATTCTTACCACTGAGCGATGCAGTGGGTTGACACCAGATGCGGGATGGACATGCAAAGCCGCGCAGCTAGTCCATTGCTCCCGCCAATCATCACCATCGCACCGTCGGTACTGATACCCGCCACCTTCTTGAGGTCGAGGTTGATGCTCTCCAGATACCCGGTCAAGATGCCATGAAGAGACCCTGCGTCACACTTGTCAAAAGTAAGTAACGTCATAAACTCTGTTGTTGCCACATGGTCGCGCAGGAATGTTACATAGACGATCATGTGCTTCCCGCGCACACGATCGGTGCTTTCATCGCAGCTCAAGCCGATGAACGGGCTCGAGTCGATGTACTCCCGTTGGCGTGATCAGAGGTGGGACGATGTCACTGACATGAGCTCTTGGAATCCATAACTGAAGTTTCAAAAAAAATAGCACATGGTAATAATCTTATACATAAACATGTGAAAAGGCAACACACGTCAACAGATTCTCACGTTGTGTAGTACGCGTCGTAACCATTCTTGGGGAACCCAGGATTGCCGCGGAGTGCCAGATGTCTCACAAGCTGCACCCACAGCTCTATGGGCGCGTCGGTCTTGGCGATGAAGAGACGAGTTTCCAGTAGCGCCTGCACATGTTCCTGCTCGACATCCCGCGCGACAGGGCAGTCGTTGATGCGTTGCTGGCCTCTCACGGCAGCCAAGGCCAGCTCCTGGTTGTGAATCGCTTCCTTGTGCTTCGTAGTTCGCTGGTGGTTTCGCATCGCCTGGGTTTGAACGTCTGTTGCACCTACGCCCCGGCCGAAATTGGTATTCGCGCCGCCAAACTCCATGCACACCGTGCACTTCATAGACGGGAACCCGTATGAGGTCTGACAAATCACAAGCCAAGGAAATTCAGTGGACCAACGCTTTTTATACTGAAGAAGCGCTTCCTGATACTTCTCCTCGGCGATGTCCGGAAGTTCGGTGTCGGATGAATCCGTGGGGCCTCCCGAAACGAGAACCGTCGGGGTCGCATCGGATGGATCAAAGTCGTCCAGGGCAGGGCAGGCAGGTGAGCAGTTGAACGAGAATTTCGTTCGATGGTAGCGCGGCTTGGCTAAATTCTTGAAAGGGGGGCCTACACGGGTTGACCCTTGCACGGTTGCTTTGGAGCATGCTCCCGGGGTACGAATAGGCGGAGGGATTTGCTAGTTGTCAACTACATGAGCGGGAGTTGCGGTATGTATTGGCCAAGTTGTTGTCGAGCATTCTCCCGGGGTACGAATAGGCGGAGGGAGTGGCGAGTTGTCTAATACATCAGCGGGAGAAGCGGGAGATGCGGAAGGTACTGCCCGGGGTGCGTTCGAGCATTCTCCCGGGGTAGGAATAGGCGGAGGGAGTGGAGAGTCGACGCCATCATCAGCGAGAAATGCGGGAGGTACTGGCAGGGGAGCTATCGGCGTACTAAACAAGAAATAAAGACCGGTCAGGGCAACGCCTCGTGTCGGGGCGTCAGGAATGGTGGTGGCTTCACCGTCGCCCTGTAGCGACGGTGCAGCCATGGATGATCTGTTTATGGGAACGCGCTGTGAGATACGCCGTAGAGGATTTTGGAAAAACTCTAGTGAAAGAAACTAGCAAGAATGAACGTAGGGGGGGGGTTGATGCTGCTGCAAGAACGGGTTGGAGCAGAAAGGGCATGGACCCGTTCGCAAGGTTGATCCAGACCACAGGTTGTCATGCCATGGCGCCATGACGATGGCGTGGTGGGAACTCGCACGGCGGATAGCTCTGGAAACCCTTGTTCCAGAACGTTCGCCATCAATGGCAGGACCAGGACCATTCAACCTAGCAGAGGCCATGCTGTAAAATGTTATACATATGCTGTAGACTATATTGGGGTACTCATTAGTGAGTACAACACTTTTAGGTCATGATATGTACCCCTTCCATTCCTTAGTCAATCATTCATGTTTCCTACCTTTGACATGGTTTCAGAGTAGGTTCAGTTCTAGGACCGTTTTTTTTAGGGCCCACCGTTAGTTCCGTCCTGCCCGTTGTTCCTTTTTGCCCTGCCCTGCCCGAAGTTTCTGCCCTGCCCAGTACGCTGTCGCGCTGCTGCCCTGCCCTGCCCAGCGCGCTGTCGTGTTGCCCTGGCCAAACCCGCGCGCTGCCGCGCTGTCCAGTGCCCCCGCCCGCCCACTGCCCCGCACGCTACTCGCGCTGCCCGCGCGCTGCCCGCACGCCGCCCACGAGCTGCCCGCGCTGACCGTGTGCAGCCCGCACGCCGCCCGCACGCTACCCGCCCTGACCACGCGCAGCCCGCATTGCCTACGCGCTGCCATGGGCTGCCCGTGACCGCCTGCACGCTGCCTGCGCACTGCCGGCCCGCCCTCCGCTGCCCTACGCGCTGCATTACGCGCGTGCCTGCCCTGCCCTGCGCCGCCTGAGTGCGCCCTCCCTGAACCGCCCTCGCATTGCCCTGCGCCACCCGCTCCCTGCACTGTCCTGCGCTGCTGCGCCGCCAGCTCGCGCCCTGTCCCGTTGCCGGCGCTCCCGCCTGCTGCTGCTTCCAGCCAGCTGCCCTGCCTGCGCTACAGCCGCCCAGCCGAGCCGCCCTACTGAGCTGAACTGCGAGCCGCCTTTGCTGCCGCCCTTATTGCCGCTTCTGCTGCTACTGTTGTTGCCCTTACTACCGCTACTGCCGCCGCTGCCGCTGCTGTTGTCGCTGCCGTTCCTGCTGCTATGGCGACTCCCACTGTGCTCACCTTTGACGCCGAGGGCCACCCGATAGATTTTGAGTCCTGGTTAGAGGACCTCCACTGGTACCTGCAGAGCGTTACTAGGGAGGATGTCTCGCTCTTTGAGCATACCTCGGGGTCCCTCGATGCCCCTGCTGGCTCAGCTGACCGCGTAGCCCGGTCCCAGTGGACTTCTCGCGACGATTCTGCCGCTCTTGCTGTCCGTAGTCACCTTCCGCTAGACCAGCGCACCCATTTTCGCCAGCTTAAGACGGCCAAGGCAGTTTATGACACTGTAGTCAAGCGCTACTCCTCCCCGTCTTCTGCAACTATAGGTCGTCTGGCGCTGCCGTTCCTCTTTCCTGAGCTGCCAGACCTCACCACTGTAGCTGACCTCATAACTCACATGCGCTCCCTTGACACCCGCTACCGTGCCACTCTCGAGTCCGACTTTCTGGCTGAGAACAAGCCCCCCATGTACCTCACTCTCTACTTCCTCATGACCTGCCTCCCGGACTCCCTTCGTGCTGTTCGAGAACACTTTCTCGCCCTACACCCCATTAAGGTCACCCTAGCATCGTTCGAGACCCGTCTCTTAGACGCTGAGTCCGCTGCCCTAGCTGTCGCTGCCTCCCGTGGCACTCCCCTCCCCTCTGTCTTTGAGGGGAGCTCCCCCTCCCTGCTCGCGCCGTCTGTTGCCTCTGCTGCTGCTGTGGATTTCCTTCGTGCTGAGGAGGTCGGTGATGCGTCTGCTCCTAGTGGGAGGCGCCGCAGCAGCAAGGGCAAGGGTGGCAAGGGTGGGGGTGGTGGGGGTGGCGGGGTTAGCGGTGGTGGTGGCGGGGGTGGTGGTGGTGGTGGGGGAGGAGGAGGTGGCGACGGCAGTGGAGGCGGAGGGGGTGGTGGGAGCAGTGGGGGTGGTGGAGGGGGTGGGGGTGGCACTCGGGGTGGAGCTGGCAGGGGCGGAGCTGGAGGTTCGGCTACTCGTACTGCTGCGTCTGGTGGTGCAGCGGGTGGTGGCGGCGGCTCTGGGTGTGGACAGCAGCAGCAGCTGAGTCGGCATGTGCCGCTCTCGCCGCAGCAGCTTCGTGAGTGGGCGGTCCGGCGTGGCAGCTCAGGTGGCCCAGTTCGCTGCCCGTACGTCCGACACACAAGTCAGCCTGGAGCGACTTGCGGCCGCACGGACCACACGGAGCCTCGCTGCTTCTTTCGCATTGACAACCTGTATCGTGCGGAGCATGGTGAGTAGCTAAAGAATCCAGATTGGTTAGTCTTGCTCAAGAAGGACATCGATGTGTTTGCCTGTGATTGGGACGTGATCCATGCTGGCATGTATGCAATGTATGTTGCTTCTGCTAGTGTCGAGGGTGACTCTTACTCGTATGTGCCTAGAGCTTCTAGTGTAGAGGCTGCTAGTCTAGGTGCTTGCGACTCAGCTAGCACAGGTGTAGCGCCTGAGGAGGCCTTGCACACTTTCACTCTAGACTTAGGCGCGTCTCGCTGCTTGTTCCGCGACTTCACCACAGTCACACCACTCACAGCCCCTGTCACTGTCACTCTGGCCGACCCCTCCGGTGGCCCAGTAGTTGCACGTGGCTCCACTGTTCTCCCGTGTCCGGCAGCCCCCTCCGGCTCCCTCATAGGTCTCCACCTCCCTCGTTCGCTAAGAATTTGGTGGCTACCGCTCTCCTCCAGGACCAGTTGGTCACTACCACCACACCTGGGGGAGAGCTCGTGGCGATCTGTACGGACTCACACACTGGTGAGCACCTCGCCGCGTTCACTCGGAGGCCTGGGTGTGGCCTGTACACACTGACCACTGAGTCTGCACAGGTGGCTGAGACAAGTCAGGTAGCTGCGTCGGGTCAGTTCGCTGCGGCTTGTGCGTCGAGGGGCGGCAGTGCGCCGCTCCTCACTCCTCCGAGTTTCCTCCGACCACTGCTCCTCTGCAGACCCTCTACATGGACGTGTGGGGCCCCGCCCACGTCACTGGACAGGGCGGCAAGTGCTACTTTCTGCTGGTTGTTGACGACTACATGCGCTACACCACGGTCTTCCCCTTGCAGAGCAAGGCAGATGTCCACAATGTTTTGATCCGCTGGATCCGCGCTGTCCGTCTCCAGCTTAGCGCTCGGTTCCGGCAGGACCTCCCGGTCCTGCGGCTGCACTCTGACCGAGGTGGTGAGTTTTCCTCCCGCCTCCTCAAGGACTTCTTTGGTACTGAGGGCATCACCCAGTCGTTCACGCTTCCGGCCTCTCCACAGCAGATTGGGATTGCAGAGCACCGCATTGGCTTGGTCATGAAGGTTGCTCGCACCTCCATTATCCATGCGGCTGCTCCCCATTTTCTGTGGCCGTTTGCGGTCCGATACGCCGCACAGCAGCTCAACCTTTGGCCCCGTGTCTCCCACCCGGAGACCTCCCCTACTCTACGTCGGACGGGAGAGGTTGGTGATGTGTCGGCGTTTCGGGTCTGGGGTTCCCTTGCTCTTGTCCGCGATCCTCCCGCGGGCAAGCTCTCTCCGCGCACTCTTCGCTGCGTCTTCCTTGGATTTCCCACCGACGCACCGCCCTTGCAGTTTTACCACCCGGGTTCTCGCCGTGTGCTGTCCTCCCGCGACGTCACTTTTGACGAGTCTGTTTGCTTCTACCGTCTTCACCCCCACCGCAGTTCCCCCGTACCCCTCCCGCCTCTCTTCCTTGTTCCCGACCCCCCCCCCTGTAGCCCTCCTCCCCCCTCAGGGTCCTGCTCCCTCAGGTTGACCCACCCCCCTTGGTTGCGCCGTTGGAGGTCTCCTCCGACACCTCTGGCCCAGCTTAGGGGGCCCAACTGAGGGGTGTGACCCAGCTGCTGACGACACAGCGGCCACTCGCCGCACACCGCGCTTGGAGACCCCTCCTGGGTTTCCGCCTCGACCGTCTTCACCGCCTCTGCAGCCAGTCGCTGTGGACTCTGGTGCTGCAGGAGGTGGTGACACTGGGGGTGCGGACTCTGCGGGTGCTAGTCCTAGGGGTGCTGAGTATCCTACTGGTGGTCGAGTTGTGGGTACTCCTACTGGAGACTCTGGGAGTGGACGTCAGCGGCAGCCGAGTAGACAGGAGACTCTCTCGCCACATCAGCTTTGAGAGTGGGCTGTCCGGTGGGCAGCCCCGGTGGCGGAGCTGGAGGTGCTGGTGCTGGAGGTACTGGAGCTGGAGGTGCTGGTGCTCGAGGTGCTGGTGCTGGAGGTGCTGGTGCTGGAGGTACTGGAGTTGGAGGTGCTGGAGGTACTGGTGCTGGAGGTACTAGCACTGGAGGTGCTACTTCTGGAGGTACTGGAGTTGGAGGTGCTGGAGGTACTGGTGCAGGAGTTCCTGGTGATAGTAGGCAGGAGACTCCCTCGCCGCAGCAGCTTCGCGAGTGGGCTGTCCGGTGGGGCAGGCCCGGTGGTGGAGCTGGAGGTGCTGGTGCTGGGGGTGTTGTTACTATTGGAGCTGGAGGTCCTAGTGCTGGAGGTGCTGGTGCTGGAAGTTCTCGTACTGGAGCTGGAGGTTCTGGGGGTGCGACTACTCAGTAGCAGCCGTCTGCGCTTCGCCACCTTCTCATTCTCCCACCTGCTGTTACTGAGTTCCCTGTCACTGGTACTACTCCTCCGATACTGTTCCCACCGACTGACCAGTCTCAGACACAGTTACTGCCAGACTCCCCGCTGCCTGCTCCTACTCCTTACACTAAGGTGACAGAGTCCCTGACAGAGAGTCGAGAGCATGCGTCTCGTGCTTCCACACCTGTTCGTACTCGTCGTGTTGCCCATCCTCGTCCTCCACCTGTCCCAGGCACTCACACTATGGCACTTCGTCCTTCCTTTGTTCCACAGCGTGTTGTCCTGCTGTCACCTCCTGCGTCTTCTCTTCTTCACGTTCCTGACTCTGAGTTTGACCTTGTTCGTGCTGTCAGTCCGACTGTCACTCGTCTTCTTGCCACGGCTGTGACTGACCCTACGTTTTCGTCTCCTGCTGCGTCTGCCTTTGTCACTAAGCTCGTTGACTTTGCTGCTCTGTGCCGCCTTGACTACGCTGCGAGTCTTGTTTTTTACTCTGACTGTCCTCCGTCCGTCAGTGGTGAGCTTGCCCTTGACTGTGACGTCCTTGAGGACAGGCAGTTTGAGCTGGAGTGCCTAGCAGCTGCTGCACCTCATCTCGCTGCCATGCTGCTTTGCCCTTAGGGAGACCCGGATGCACTAGACATCCCGACCCCGCGCTCTTACTCAGAGGCAATCACGTGTCCGTACTCCTCTCAGTGGCAGATAGCCATGGATGCAGAGATGGCTTCCTGGAAGTCCACAGGCACCTACGTCGACGCAGTTCCCCCCCTGGGGCGAACATAGTCGATGACATGTGGATTTTCAGAGTCAAGCGGCCGCCGGGTTCTCCGCCTGCCTTCAAGGCGCGTTACGTTTCACGAGGCTTCAGTCAACGTGAGGGGTTGGACTTCTTCCAGACCTTCTCCCCCACCCCGAAGATGACCACTCTTCGGGTGTTACTAATCGTTGCAACACAGCGTGACTACGAGCTGCACTCCCTCGAAATCTGGACAGCCTTCTTGCACAACAGCCTTCACGAGACGATCTGGCTGCGCCGCCCACGTGGCTTCACTGGGTCGTTTCCTGAGGGTACCCAGTGGAGCCTCCGGCGGCCTGTCTACGGTCTGCGTCAGGCGCCCCGTAAGTGGCACGACACACTGAGGACGACACTTGCGGCTCTTGGTTTCGCTCCCTCGACTGCTGACCCGTCGCTGTTTCTGCGCACTGACACTTCTCTGCCGCCGTTCTACATCCTCGTGTACGTCAACGACTTGGTCTTTGCTACTGCTGACACTGAGGCACTGGCACTAGTGAAGGTGGAGCTGCAGAAGAGACACACCTGCACTGACCAAGGTGAACTGCGGAGCTATCTTGGCTTGCATATCACCCGCGACAGAGCACGGCGCACCATCACTCTGACCCAGTTACACATGGTGCAGCAGGTCCTTCAGCGCTTCGGCTTTCGGTTCTCCTCGCCACTGCCCACTCCTCTGCCTACAGGCCATTCACTCTCAGCTCCACCTTCGGACGAGTCCGTAGAGCCGAGTGGTCTGTATCCAGAGCTTTTGGGCTGCCTCATGTACTTGATGACGTGCACACGACCTGACCTCGCATACCCTCTCAGCCTGCTACCTTTGACACATGCCACGATTGAATGGCAGGTGCGAAGCGCGTCGTATTGCTTCATGCTGACGCGGTAATGTTCCGGTGCCGTGTGGAGTGGTTTTCGGCTTGCGGCGAACAATGATTGGCTCATAACCCCTGACATGACGTGTATATTGCCGGGGTGCAGGTACAGCGGGGCGAAAAAAAATCGCGGCCTGTGTTTTCTGCTGTATATATGTCGTTGGTTTTGTACGTTGGCCCCTTAATTATTTTTTTTCCGATACAACACATTTCACTGTATTTTTTTACAGGATACTGACGAATCAGTGCTGGGGGTACACTACAATCCTGGCATCTCATGGTGCTTATGCGTTAAAAAACTGACTGATCAGGGCTATATCTCATATAATACGGTATTGTTTTTTCAGTCATGCACCCCTTCACTAATACTGAAATCAGTGTAATCAGGATATTTTATTCTGATAAAATAGGGCCTGTTTCGGAGACATAGGCGCACGTTCGTATACACTAAGTACAACTCTTTTCACCCACCCCACGACCGTTCTTTTGATTAAAAAAACAAAAAAAACAAAAACAAACACACACACACACACACATCGCGAGATTCGCCCATCCGCTACATTCGCGCCATCGCGTCCGAGCCACACGCCTCCGAAACCTCGCCGCGAGCATATCCCAATATTCGCGCGTCACTGTTACATTGGTGTTCGCTAATAATGTTCGCTCGTGCCTTCTCTCATGTAGTCAATTGCACTCAAATCGGAACATCTCGAGAGAGTGTATACCAAGTTTGCAAGCTAGGATTCTAAATTTGACAATTGGGCTTTAACGCAAGAACCCACACTGAAACGCACCACCACACCACCAGATTACGTTATCGCGAAGCCACAGTTGTTCCGTCCTCATGGAGGCCATTCGCGCCTCGTCCTCCCTCGCCGCCCGTCATCCCCTCTGCTACACGCCGCGCCTCCCTCCGCTTCTGCCGTCGTCGCACCGCGTCGCGCCGAGCAGCCACATCGCCTCCGCGCTGCCGCCCGCCTGCCATCCGCACTCGCGCGTCGCACCAACCCTCTCCGCCGCTGTCCGAGCGCAACGCCCGTCGCGATGCCTCTCGTCTCTGGGCCGCGCCGATCCACGTCCAATCGCTCTGAGAGCCACCCCGGCCAGCTCCAGGCGGAGAGTGACAATAGCGGGGGCCGTGGTGGCGGCGACGGCGGAGGCGGGGTCTGCTGAGAGCGAGGGCGACCGTGCGATGGGCGCGCTGGTGGAGGCGGAGGGCGGCGCCGCGCACGGGAGGGGGCGTAGCGAGAGCAGCGAGGGCAGCGACGGCGGGGAGGGCAGCGATGGCGGTGAGGGCGGTGAGGGCAGCGACGAGGGTGAGGGCGGGCTGTCGCGGAAGGAACTGCGGAAGGGGCGGCAGGAGCGACGATTGCGGCTGATGGTGAGCGGCTTGCGAGGCTGCTTGGCTGGGCGGCGGGGGTTTGAGTGGGTTTTAGCAGATGCGCGGGCAGGTAGCGCTGGAAAACCGTAGCCTCGCCTCTCAGCTGCGTGGCTGCGCGGAGAATGACCCTGATCTCGCCGCCGGAGCAGAGGGCGCCGGGCGGGACAGACCAGTGCGCTCCCTTGAGACTCTGGGTTGGCAGCAGCTGGGTCATTCTCATCCGCCACACACATGCATCGACTCACACACTACCATCCACACGACCCCTCACCCCTTCCCCCTGTCCCCCCTGTCCCCCCTGTCCCCCCTGGCCCCCCTGTCCCCCTTGGCCCCCATGTCCCGCGCGTCCCCCGTGTCCCTCACTCCCCCGTGTCTCCCACTCCCCCGTGTCCCCCACTCCCCCGTGTCCCCCGTGTCCCCCATGTCCGCCAGGAGCCCGAGGCGGTGCAGCAGCGGAGGCGGCAGCAGGAGGAGCGGGTGATGGCGGCCATGGCGCCGCTCAGAAAGCGCCCCGCCAACCCCGGTGGGCGCCGCAAGAAGACGGCGCCGGAGGGAGAGGGGGACGCGGGGAAGGTGGAGGGGGCAGCTGGGGAGACGGGAGGGGAGGAGGGGAAGGCGGAAGGAGTGGGTGGTGGTGCAGGGGATGGGGGAGGTGAAGGG